CTACAAGGCTATATCCCCTGCTGCTTGGTGACCATCCCCAGGGTCACTGTTCAGCTCTAATGATAGCTATGAAGTGCTACCTGCCTCTTAGGGATTTTGTTCGCCCCATTTCTGAGCTCAGATGGATGTCTGATGTCTTCCTGTGTTTCCCCTCACTGTCTCCACCAGCCTCCTGCTTTCACGCTCACATCACCTTCCCAGGCTGCCTTTTCCTCCGAGTCTCACCTTTGCTCCCAGCAGAGAGCCCTGCTCGCCTCTCGGTGCCCTGCTCACTTCTCAGACCCACTGGCCCAAGTCTGAGCCTGGGCCCCTTGTTTGAGGGGCCAGTCAGGGTTGGATGTGACTGTCCCTGAAGAACAAGGCTAACCTTTGAGGATCACTGACCCTCGGGTTGCTTGCCAGACTCTTGAGTTGGCTCATTTGTCCGGGCAGGGATGGCTGGTATGGGCTGGGACAGTCAAGGTCACTCACTTCCTTATCTAGAATCTCTCAGAGTCTCTCTCCCCAAGACAGGCAGGGAAATTCTAATTTCTCTTTTAAGAAAGTAAAATTTCCAATTCACCAGCAATAACAATCAGAGGAGACTTGGCCCTCAGTCCTTGTATTTCTCTTTTTCACCCCCTCTTCCTGCCCCAAGATGGAATTTTGGGGTCTGGATGGAGAGGGTTGGTATCTACTGTGAGCAAGTCCCCCAACCCCTGACCAGCCTCCTCCCATGACTGGTGACTGTTCAACAAGCTGTGTACCGCCCACAAAAACAGGAGTGCCCTCTCTGTGCCCTCCAACCCTCTGCACAGCTCCTTCTGGGTGGTCCTCAATGGGTTTTTGACCTTGATTGGAGGCCACTCTGGCAACCACTGCCCATTCCTCTAATCCTTCACTGTACCTGCTCCAGACCCTGAGCCTGATCCACAGGGACTGGGAGAAGGCATTAACACAAAACAAAACAGAGATGGGGGGAGAAAAAAAAATGAACAGCTTTGGAATGTCCAACCACAAAATAAATTATATATAAATATATAAATATATATATATATCTACCATATGTGATGGAAAGACTTTTCATTTTCCGTTCCCAAAGAAATAAAATGGAGAAAGCCTCTTAAATGGCATTCTGTGGCCAGCTTGTATTTTTGCAAGTATGGGAGGTAAAGTTTGGGGGTGCAGGCAAAGCTGGAACAAACATTCTCTGGAGGAGGCATGGGACAGGAGGAACTCACTGTGCTATGCAAGGAGATTGGCTCAAAGCTCAAGTCTTCCATGTTTGGCCAGGAGTCATGGCTCACCTTTCCTACCAATGGGGCGTGGGAGCAGAGGAGGCTTCCTCTTCAGCTCAGGCTGTTAGCAGTGCTACCAGCTGGTTCTAGCTCAGGAGCTGTACACTATGCTGCTGGCCAGAAGGCAGGTGAGATGGGACAGCTAGGTGCAGCCTGCAGTCACTTAAAACACCTCACAGTGAGGAGCACAGAATCACAGAATGGGTTTTCAATTAATGGCAAAGAGACTCATGTATGCCATAAGTAGTGACCTGTACTTTATGGTAATTCCTTCAGTCCTCACAATGCCTTGTAGTAAAAAAAAAAAAAAAAACCAATAATTTTCTGTAAACATTGCAACTAGATCTACACTTTTTTTTTTTTCTTTTGGTTTTTCAAGACAGGGTTTCTCTGTGTAGCTTTGGTGCCTTTCCTGGAACTCACTCTGTAGCCCAGGTTGGCCTCGAACTCACAGAGATCCACCTGCCTCTGCCTCCCAAGTGCTGGGATTAAAGATGTGCTCCACCACTGCCCAGCTAGATCTACACTTTCACAGAGTGGTTTGTTTTCCCTTCACCCAATAACTCTAGATATAGGTGTTACAGATACTACTGGTTCCTTGTGGATCTAGAGCAGTAGTTCTCAACCTTGGGTCGCAACCTCTTGCGGTCAAACAACCCTTTCATAGGGGTAGCATATCAGATATTTACATTACGATTCCTAACAGTAGCAAAATTACAGTTACGAACTGGCAGTGAATATAATTTTTGGTTGGGGGTCACCTGTATTACAGGGTCACAGCCTTAGGAAGGTTAAGAAGCACTGCTCTAGAGTCTAGGTTTTTCATCCTCCCAACCTCCCAACCTACCTTGTTTCCTCTATGCCGCAGAGTGGCATAGCTTTCTAATGAGTATAATTTGCATCACTTTATCATGATATTAGAAGTTTTTTTTGTTTTTAAATTTATGATGTATAGTGTTCTGCCTGCATATATGCCTGCAGGCCAGAAGAGGGCACCATATTTCATTACAGATGGTTGTGAGCCACCATGTGGTTGCTGGGAATTGAACTCAGGACCTCTGGAAGAGCTGCCAGTGCTCTTAACCTCTGAGCCATCTCTCCAGCCCCTAGAAGTTTTTGGGGCCAAGCAGTGGTGGCACATGACTTTGATCCCAGCACTTGGGAGGCAGAGGCAGGCATATCTTTGTGAGTTCAATGCCAGCCTGGTCTACAGAGCTAGTTCTAGGACAGCCAGGGTTGTTTGTTACAAGGAGAAGCCCTGTCTTGTGTGTGTGTGGAGGGGGAGATTGAAGTTTTTCTGAGGCTGGATGTGATAGCACACTCCTTTAATCCTAATATTCAGGAGACAGAGGCAGGCAGATCTTTGAGTTGGAGACCAATCTGGTCTATATAGTGAGTTCCAGAACAGCTAGGGCTATATAGTGAGACCCTGTCTCAAGAAAGAAAGAAAGAAAGAAAATAAACAAATACCAATACTTAAAAAAAAAAAAAAAGCTTCTCTGTGGACTGGGAAAATGACTCTATCAATACAGTGCATGCCATACAGGCATGTGAACCTGAGTTTGGATTTCTAGCACCCACATAAAAGCAGGCCCTGAGGCCTGGTCTGTATCTGTAACCCCAGCACAGGGGCCACCAGAATATGGATGCGTCCCTGGAGTTCCTCGGCTAGCCTGTATAGCTAAATCTGATCCGTGAGCTCCAGTTTAGTGAGAGACATTGTCTCAAAAGTAAGATGGAGAGTGACTGAGAGAGACACCTGATGTTGACCACCGGCCTGCGCACGCAGGCGCGTGCGCGCGCGCGCGCGCGCGCGCACACACACACACACACACGCTCACACACACACACACGCTCACACACACACACACACACACACACACACACACACACACACACGCATGCACGCACGTATGTACTCACACATACACACAGAGCAAAAAAAGTTCCCAGGTCCCTGCCATAACTCTTCCCTTCCAGTCCTGTTGGCTAGAGCTGGGCCATAAGCTCCTCTCACTTCAGAGGAGACAAGGAAACAGTATTTGGCAGAGAAACTGGACTTTGGTGGCTGCCCAGGAGCAACCAAGTTTTGTCCCCTGGGTGTGGGATTTTTCACTCTGTGCTTGCAGGCAGATTGTAATCCCGTAAGTGAATGAGAAAAGAAGAAAAAGGAAAGGACAGGATTCCTCCTAGGTATGGTAGGGAAGAAAGTTTATTGTGGATAAAAGGGAGACATTGTCAGAGGCAGGAACATCTGGGAGAGTCCAGAGTGGGCATGACTCTGAGCCTTGTGAGGAGAGGGACAAAGGGGTTGGGGGTGGGGAGAACCATATGCAACAGCCAGGAGGCCCAAAAGAGAGCAGACCAAAAGGGACCAGGCAACTGAAGTGGCTGATTATATAGGGAAGGGTAGGTGGGGGAAGAGCAGCCCAGCTAGAGGGTTGGAGAAGTTTGGGGTAGGAGGCGGAGTAGTGGCTGAGGGGTACTGAGAGAACCTGGCGGCTTGATCCACTTTGATTTGTTAAACAGGCACCTCAGATGTTTGTCCCGGGTTTGAAACCTACCAGCAAGAAGCCCCTAGCGGGTATAAACCCTGGTCCAGAGGCACAAATGTTCAAACCGAGGCAAACTGCCTTACATAGAACTCAGAAGCTTGGATGCTGGGTTCCAACTTCTTTGTCATAACCTCTTACATTGCCCTGGTCCTCTCACCAGTGCCCTGGAGGGAGTGTGACGTCTCAGTTCTCCTTCACAGCTTTTAAATGGATGGCAGCCTGGGAACGGGCCTTCCTGCTACAAAGGACTTGATAGAATCCCTTCCAGCCCAGGTGGGAGACCCTCCTAAGAGAGGTACAAGACCATCCTTGACTTACCCTCCTCCAGTCCCAGTTTCTTGCATCCATTTTTGTTGTTGTCATTTGTTTCTTCGAGACATGGTTTATCTGTGTAGCCCTGGCTGTCCTGGAATGCGCTGTAGACCAGGCTGGCCTCAAACTCAGAGATCTGCTCCCTCTGCCTCCCAAGTACTGGGATTTAAGGCGTGCACTACTGTCATTTTTCTTTATCATTTATTTATTTATCTATCTATCTATCTATCTATCTATCTATCTATCTATCTATCTAGTTAGTTAGTTAGTTAGTTAGTTAGTTAGTTAGTTAGTTAGTTAGTTATAGACAAGATCGTGCTACCTAGCCATAGCTATCCTGGAACTCACTATGTAGACCAAGCTGGCTTCCAATTCATAAAGATCTGCCTGCCTCTGCCTCCCGAGCGCTGGGATCAAAGGTGTGCGCCATCATGCCCGACTCCTTGAGCCCGTTTTTTCATCTACCCATTGCTAGTTCCTCTTCTGAAAGCATAAGCATTTTCACTATTGGAAATGCATCATTATCTTCATTGTGTAGATGACAAGCTAGGCTTGAAAAGTTTACGCGACTTTTTCAAAGTCATAAAACCTTGGTGGTAATACTAGGATTCGAACCTGTGCAAAGCTGCTCGATTACTTCCAAAGCGATCCATCCAGGGTACTGTTGCACATCCTCAGTTACCTCTCTACGCTTGACACTAGACTGTGTCAGGGGAAAACGCTGACTGAAGTCTTTTGAGCCTCGGCGGCTTCGGGACTGACGCAAGCGGAACTAGAAGGCCGCTGGCCGGAAGTGAGTTGTGGGGCGGCTGATGCTGGGGCCTCGGTGTGTTGACTTCCCCTGTGCGGCCCGGGACTGGAGCTGGGGCGCTACCTCTGCGGGCCTCAGGTGAGTGGGCTGCCTGTGGGACGTGGCTCGGTTTGCTGCCTGCGTTCTGGCCCCACCGGGCCTGCGCCGCGCGCTCCGCCTTCCCGGTTCCTCGGCCTGCCGCGCCGAGGCGGTGCTTCCCGGCCGGCGCCCCGGGCGCTCCCATCTCCCCACCCCCCCGAGATCCCCTCTTAGTGTCTGGGCCACCTTCGCCACTCCAGACTGCTGTGACTGCGGGCAGAAGACTGACATTCTAGCCCTCGGCAAGTGACTTAGCCCGTCTTGGGTGGGCCCCAAGAGTCGGTGTTTCTTAACCAGCTTCTCGCCAGAAAGCATTTCGAACCGCGTTTGGTTTAGGGCTTGGGACGGGGTGAGGCAGTGGGACATATGCCTTCATTTTTCAGCCGTTCCTGGTTGTACAAGCCCAACTCGAGGTAGTCGTGTTTGCCTCCTCTCTTTTTTTCTCCCCAGGAATAGGAAATTATTGATCCTTTTCTGTTCAAATCATGACATCTCTTTGCTCTGGCTCAAGGAACTTTGGACAGGAGCCTTTATACTAGATACATTCGTGAGTCTTCTCGGGGGGCTTCATTGCTCACTCGGTGTAGACATCAGGGCATTGCTTCATCCCGTGGAGCTCATATCTAGGCACTTAAACGTCAAAGATAACTGATTTTTTTCTGTACTTTGTCCACACTGCGAATACTCAGAACAGTGGCTTTCTAGAACTAGGTTCTTAGGCCTACTGCCCTCAGTTACCCCAGGCTAGCCCTAGGTGATTTAGTCCTGCATGGTGGACCAAAATAAAATCTGAAGACTACTACTTGCTTCATACAGCTGAGAAAGTGAGGTCATTTTGGCAGTTGTCCAGGGCTGTTGCCGGTGTGTCTTCCACACTTAGTGGTTTATTATTGTCTGGTCCCCAATGAGACCTTGGCATTCATCGTGTAAATAAGCCAACTTAATTTTTTTTCTTTATTTTTCTTTTATGTGAATGGGCGTTTTGCCTTTGTGCATAATCTGTGCACCATATGTATACAGTGCTGGAGGAGGCCAGAAGAGGGTGTCAGACCTCCTGGGACTTGAATTATAGTTGGTTGTGAGCCAAAGTGTGTGCTAGGAATCAAAGAATTCAAATCCTGATCCTCTGGGAGAGCAGCCAGTGTTCTTAAACATTGAGCATCTCTCCAGCCAATAAGCCAACTTTTATATAAAAGAATTCTGGCCAGGTGTGGTAGTGCACATTTTTAATTCTTCCAGCACTCAGGAAATAGAGGAGGCACATCTCTGTGAGTTTGAGGCCAGACAGGGCTATAGTAAGACCCTGTACTCTTCCCCACCCCTCTAAAAAAAAAAAAAGGAAATCTGAAGTTTCTTACTTTGAAACCTCAAAAATTGGAAAAACAGGTAAAAAACCAAAACAACAATAAAAGCCCAAGTGTCTGGTTGTGTGTGACTGGGATTATTGTTGGGAATTTTCTCTCATGGCTGTGTGGGTCTTAGCTTTACCTGCCTGCTTTCTAGCCATCCTGAAAAGTGGAGGGATGGGCATGCTGCATTCTATCTCACAGGAGTTCAAGGCCTGCCTCTACTGGCTACTGTTAGGTCTCCAACTCAGGACAGATGGCTAACTGAGGTGCCTGTTTAACATACCAGAGTGGACTTGGCTGCTAGGTTCTCCCAGCAACTCTCAGTACCTGTTACAGAGTCATTGTGGCTGTCATACCCTGTTCCTACCCTAAACTCTGCAGCCAAGGGGCTTGGCTTCCCTTCCCCCAGCTTCTCTGATTCCTGCATAACTTCAGCCATTTTGCTAAAGGCCCTTTTGCCTCTTGGCCACTGGTCTTAGTTCTTACTCACTCTCCTGGCCTCTTGTCTTCTTCCTCTCCTCACCCCGCCCCCCTCACATGACCTGGTTCAGTCTGACAGCCATGTTCACTCTGGACTCTTCCAGATGCCTCTTTTTTTTTTTTTTTTTCTGGAGCTGAGGACCGAACCCAGGGCCTTGTGCTTACTAGGCAAGCGCTCTACCACTGAGCTAAATCCCCAACCCCTGGATGCCTCTCTTATGTTCTTTCATATTTACAATAAACCTTCTCAACCCATACCTAGGAGCAGTCATGTCCTCAAACCACCCCATTCAGTTACATAGTCTGAGGCCAGTCTAGGATACATGAGACTCTGTCTTTTGGGGGCTTTTTTTTTTTTTTTTTTGGTTTTTCGAAACAGGGTTTCTCTGTGTAGCTTTAGAGCCTGTCCTGGAACTCTCTCTGTAGACCAGTCTGGCCTTGAATTCACAGAGATCCTCCTGCCTCTGCCTCCCGAGTGCTGGGATTAAAACTGACTGGCTCGAGACCCTGTCTTTTTTGTTTGTTTGTTTGTTTTATGTTTTTTCAAGACAGGGTTTCTTTGGGTAGCTCTGGCTGTCCTGGAACTCTCTCTATAGACCAGGCTGGCTTCAAACTCAAAAGAGATCTGCCTGCCCCTGCCTCCTGAGTACTGGGATTAAAGGCATGCGCCACCACTGCCCAGCTGAGACCCTGTCTTAAAAAAAAAAGGGGAAGGAAAGGGGAAAAAGAAGAGGGATGGTTTGTGCTGGACTTGGGCTCCCCACCCCCAGCTTTGATCTTGTTTTGGCTTAGCTCATAGACCCTATTTTGACCCTCCACTGCTGCACTTTACCTTAACCTTCCTGGACTGCTGGTGGGTTCTGCTCCCGTGTGGGAACGAACAAAAGGGGAGAAACAGCCTAGCTAACATCTCCCTGACAGCTCAGGGTCTTGACTGTCAGTTTACAAGCCTTTGTGGCTTTACATTTTGGTAGACTCCCATCAGGAGACTTTAGCCCCTAGAAAAAGTTAGGGGCTAAGGCTGTGTAGTAAGCCTAGCGTTTATGAGGCCCTGAGTTTGATTACTAGTACTGCAAAAAAGAAAAGACAGTATGGGAATCAGGAATTGGTCATTTGTATATACTAAATATGTCATGCACTTAATTGATTTACAGTTACCATGGCTGCCCTTTTCTAACTTCTGGACATTGGTTTAAAATGGCCTTGCTGAGGCGTGTATCTGGAAGATAGAAAGGTAAGATTTCTGGCTCTGTGTTGTCACATCCTTCTGGGTGGTTGAGTAGTACCTTTTGGAAATTCCAGCGCTCTGAAACTGTGCTGTGGTCTATTAGCAACCATAAAGAGGAGATAGAGAGGAAGGTATATTTAGAAAATTTAAACTAGACAGGGAGCTTAGTGCAGTGACATCAGGTTGGATCCTTTAATTAAGGAACTAGGAATTAATTAATTTCTAGCTTTCTTGTTTGTGCTCTGGGAAACCTTGAGGAAAGAAAAGTTAACTAATTTCCTCTCTGCCTATTTTCTCTACCTGGCAGCACATGTCTCCTTTGCAATACTCTTCCTCTACTGTCTTACTCTGCCTCTCCTCTTCTTCCTTACTTTTTTTTTTGTGTTGCCCTGGCTAGCTGGGAGCTTGCTGTATAGACCAGGCTGGCCTCAAAACCACAGAGCTCTACCTGCCCCTGCCTTTTTAGTGCTGGGATTAAAGTTGTGCACCACTAGGCTTGGCTTTTTGTTGTTTGGTTTTTTTCAAGACAAGGTTTCTCTGTGTAACAGTCCTGGCTGTCCTGGAACTTGCTTTGTAGACCAGGCTGCCTTGAACTCACAGAGATCCACCTGCCTCTGCCTCCCAAGTGCTGGGATTAAAGGCGTGCGCCACCACCGCCTCGCTGGCTGGTTTGTTTTTGAGACAGGATCTCATATGTCCTAGCCTGGCTTCAAAGTCAGTATATAATTAGGGGTGAGCATGAACTCCTGCCTCCACTCACAAGTGCTGGGATTACAGGCATGCACCACCACGCCTCTAGCACATGTGATTTGTAAATGCTATTTTTGTTGAAGTTGTGCGTGTTTTTGATTTAAATAGTTCAATAGTCTCGTAACACTGTCAGTTCTTTCCAGTTTCTTCCTCCATTTTTCAACAGTCCTTTTTGGCATCTATTAGCTTATTTCTTTTTCTTTGTGTTTGATTTAGTATTATAGCAACATGATTAAGAGAAGTTCTAGAGTGGCTGCTTCCACAGAACACATTTGTATTGCCCTCCCTTCCTTCCTTCCTTCCTTCCTTCCTTCCTTCCTTCCTTCCTTCCTTCCTTCCTTCTTGCTTTCATGTGGTGCTAGAGAGTGAACTCAGGGCCTCTGTATGGTAGTCAACGAACAACTACTGAGCTACACCCTCAGGCCCTTTTTATTGTTTTTGTTTTTAGATTTATTTTATGTGTATGAATGTTTTGCCTAAATGAATGTATGTGTACTATGTGCTTGCCTGGTACCCATGGAAGTCAGAAGAGGGCATCAGATCTTCTGGAACTGAAGTTATAGATGGTTGTCAGCCACCGTGAGGGTACTGGGAGTTGAGCCCTGGTCCTCTGAAAGAGCAGCAAGTGCTTTTAACAAGGTTGTTGTTTTGAGACTGGGGCTCACTAAGTTGCCCAGGTAGAATTTCATATGCTATCTCAGCCTCCTGAGTACCTGGGATTACAGGTATGAGCCATCGTGTTATAGCTAGTGTTGCTCATCCTCCACCCCTCCCTCTCTGTTTTGATTTTGAGGTGAAGACTCTTAGTTTTTTTTTTTTTTTTTGGTTTTTCGAGACAGGGTTTCTCTGTGTAGCTTTGTGCCTGTCCTGGAACTCACTTGGTAGCCCAGGCTGGCCTCGAACTCACAGAGATCCGCCTGGCTCTGCCTCCCGAGTGCTGGGATTAAAGGCGTGCGCCACCACCGCCCGGCTACTCTTAGTTTTATTTTAGTTTTATGTATGTATATGTGTATGTGAGCAAGTGCCGAATGTATGAGTGGGCCTGCAAAGGCCAGTTTGTAACTGGAGGTACAGTTATAGATGTTTCTGGTCTGAACTGAACTCAGGTCCTCTGGAAAAGCAGGAAGTTTTCTTAATCATGGAGCCATCTATCCAGTTCTCCCCCCCCCCCCTCTTTTTTCTTATTAAATTGGAAGCAAGATTAGCCCATATTGGCATCAAACTCATTATCTTCCTGCTTCAGCCTCTTAAATGCTGGAGTTCTGTGCACCACTACACCTGTAGTGTGTACTTGTACACCTGGCAATAATTCCTGTTAGTGTTATTACTAGCTTATTTTTCTGTCAGTCTGTCCATCCCTAGATTATCCATTAGAAGTTCCTTTCCCGGGTACTGCCTATCTTGTCTCTTCCAGCTTGAAATGGTTGCTCTTTTTGTCCGCTCACACAGTTCTTGCCCTGGGATCTTTCTTCTATTTTTACTTTGAGTTTTTCTTTTTTTCTCTCCTGTGTTGAACTCTTAAGTATTTTTGTTGATCTTTTTGTTATTTTTGGCAAGAGAGGTCCCTGTTTAGTTTAGGCTAGCCTTGAAAGTGTGTCAATCCCGCCTGAGTCTCCTAAGTCCTGGGGTTATAGGTGTGTATAGGTATGTGCCACCTCACCTAATTTAAAACTAACTCACCCTCTCTCCCTCCTGAGACAGAGTCTCATTGCGTCGCCTTGGCTGGCCTAGAACTTGCTATGTAGAGTAGCCTGGCTTCAAATTCAGATTGATATACCTGCTTCTTCTTCCCCAGTGCATTAAAGGAATGTGTTACTATGCCCAGCATCTTAAAACTTTTCATTTTTCTTTTTAAATTTATTTTATTTTACATATATAAATGTCTTGCCTACATGTATGTATATGCATCATGTGCATGCCTGGTGCCCTCAGTGTTCAGAAAAGAGCATCATATCTTCTGGAATTGGAGTTGTGAGTCACCATGTGGGTGCTGGGAAATGATCTAGGGTCTTCTGCAAGAAAAAGTGTTCTTAACCACTGAGCCAACTTTCCAGCCCTTAAAACTGTTTGTTTATTTGGTTTTTGGTTTTTTGAGACAGGGTCTCTCTGTGTAGCCCTGGCTATCCTGGAACTCACTCTGTAGATCAGCCTGGCCTTGAACTCAGAGATCCACCTGCCTCTCCCTCCCAAGTACTGGGATTAAAGGTGTGCCTGTTCTTTTTAGAATTATTTTATTTCATCTGCCTGCATGTTTTGCCTGCATGTCTATGTACTATGTTCATGCAGTGCCCATAGAGCCCAGAAGAGGGCATTAGATGCCCTGCAACTGGAATCACAGATGGTTGTGAGCTATGTGGGTTCTCGGAATCAAACCCCATCTGTAAGACTGCTCTGCTTGAGCAATCAAACTGCTCTGGAAGAGTAGCCAGTGCTCTCAGTCGCTGTACGATCATCTCTCCGGCACCTCAACCCCTGAACTCTTAATTTTTCCATCTCAATATCGACTGCCAACTTTCAGGTCTTCCGTTATGGCACTGTTTCTTTGGCTGTAGAATACCCTGCAAAGCCCACTCTTTCATGTAGGTGTCTTCTTGAGTCTTCTCTGTACTCCTTTCATAAGTAGGGTGAACTAATTACAGTGATAACTGGAACACTAGGGTGTGTAGGCGGGAGATGCTCTTGAGCTGACCCAGTGTTAATACTCTAGCTCCTGGCATCCGCAAATCTGGGAGAGTAGCTTCCTCAGGCCTGCCCCCAAATCTGGCCCTTCTTCCTGAATTGTATTGCTGTCTCTGTATACTAGTAGTGTGGCCTTTGGAGTCCTTGATAGCAAGCTCCACTCAGTCCTTTGGCTTTGTACCATATGAAAGTCGTCTTTTTTTCTTGTGAGAAGTGCCTTAATCTTATAAAATATCTTACTCATAAATAATACATAAATAACGAAACCTACCTAACAGAAGGGTTGTTGGAATAAGAATTAAGTGGGGTGTGGTGGCACACTAGGAAGACAGAGGCAGATGGATCTCTCCCAAGTTCCAGACCTGCCAGGACTGCACAAAGAGACCTGTCTCAAAAAGCTAAAGGGGAGGTGGGGGTTGGTGCATATCAAATAGTTCATTTAGGACTCTGGGCCTTGAAGGGAGACTAAGCAGAGCAGAGGAGGACCCAAGAGAGGGTGATGGTGGGAGAGGTACAGGTTGTGTGTCGTCCCATGTGCAGAATCTAGACTGTCCGTGAAAGCAGGGAGATGGCACAGTGAGTAAAGTGAGCCACAAGCCTGAGGGCCCGGGTTTGGATGCCCAGAACCTTCATGAAAAAACTGATATGATGTGTCGTAGGCCTGGAATCCTCCTGGGAGGTAGAGGCTGGAGGATCCCCAGGGCTCATTGGCCAGTCTAGCCAGTTGTGACCTTCGGATTCAGTGACAGATCCTGTCTCAAAAGTAAAGTGGTGAGCCATAGAGGAAGACATCAGATCGACCTCTTGTCTCCACATGTGTGCATCACATACAATAGTAAGAGCAGATGGGGACAAGAAGTATAGTGGAGGGTGTGAATATGAACACTGTATAATGATGTACATAGAGCAACATGTCATAAATAAAACCCATTATTTTGGGTCATCGAGATAGCTAAAGACACTTGTCATCAATCCTGGCAAGCTGAGTTCAATCCTTAGGACCCACACGGTAGAAGAAGAAAACTGATTCCTGCAAGCCATCTTGTGACCTTCACACATGTGCCATAGCATGTGTGTCTCCACATACACAACACACACAAAGCAAGTAAGTAATTATAAAAACAATTGTTTTAAAAATTTAAAAACCCGGGAGGCAGAGCCAGGCGGATCTCTGTGAGTTCGAGGCCAGCCTGGGCTACCAAGTGAGCCCCAGGAAAGGCGCAAAGCTACACAGAGAAACCCTGTCTCGAAAAACCAAAAAAAAAAAAAAAAAATTTAAAAACCCGCCGGGCGGTGGTGGCGCACGCCTTTAATCCCAGCACTCGGGAGGCAGAGGCAGGTGGATCTCTGTGAGTTCGAGGCCAGCCTGGTCTCCAAAGTGAATTCCAGGAAAGGCGCAAAACTACACAGAGAAACCCTGTCTCGAAAAAACCAAAAAAACACAAAAACAAACAAAAAAAAATTTAAAAACCCATTGTTCACTAACAAAAATTTTAATTAGGAAAAGAAAAAAAAAGACAGCATTGGTACAGAAGAGGCCCTAAGCTAGTTGGGGCTCTTGTTATTTCCATCTTAGA